TGCAAAAAAATGCAATATATATCTTCACATATTTTTGCAAAAATATATTTTATCTTTTATCTTGAATTTGAAAACATCTCATCACGTTTTCTTTATAGAATGAAAAAAGGATCCATGCAAAACGGCAAGCGATTCATCTATATATACGATTCATATATATTACCAAGACGGAATTTCGTTCTTATCTTAACGAGATTAATTTTTTGAATTACGTTGATTAAGCATCTTTCATTCCTCTTATTGATACTAAACGTTTTCGAAGTCTCGAGCTCTTTTTTTAAATTTAAATTTTCGATGATGAGCTTAACGATTTAATCTAATCCGAACTGATCTTCGATCGCTTTTGCCGTTGCAGGCAGCGGCCTTCGGTGTCTGTATACCTCGGACATATGGTGGCCGAAAATAGTGCGATGGAAATTTTTTAAGGGTAGTCGGAAAACGGCGAGAGAGAGAGGACCATCATCTCTCGTTTATAAATTTCCAAAGTCCCGTGTATGTTGTTGTAGCGACGTTAAGCGATACGTTTAGTGCCGGTCGATTTGTCGCCGTGTGGGATATATTATTTTAGTATTGGGTTTACACAAAAGGCCCTTCGCTCTGTTTATTTAACTTGAACTTCTTTATCCTTCTTACCTTACCGCGGACTTCCTCTCCGCTGTTCCGGATACCGCTCGGCGTTTCTCAAAAAGAGAGAGAGAGAGAGAGAGAGAGAGAGAGAGAGAGAGAGAGAGATGATCGTGTTTCTTTACAAAGTCATGTACTTACACCCGCGCGACATAAAATATTAACATAAAATAATCGAAATTAAATTGTAAAAATATTTTAAGTAGAAATGTTGAAGGAATTTTTTGTGGCTAACTTTCTATGTTTTATTAACTATTATTGAGTTTTTAATATGTTGCATTGAAATGTGTTCTCTGCTAGCAATGTAATATATAAAAAATAACGAAATTATACCAATATATTAAAGGGAATGTTATTTGCTTATTATATATACGTTATTTTTATCGATCATCGTTTTGCGAGCAATAAATTATTAATAGCTGCATGGTTGCCTATCAACAGGTGCCTGACCATCGTCTTTTAATTTACCGTATCTCATCAGATATGAAGCATTACAGTGGTTCTTATATTCTCAAAAAGCTCTTTAAGATACTCTAAACTGAAGCATTACAATACCTACTTCCTACTTTTGAAATTAACATCCCCGACGATAAAGTTTGTCATTATAATTTTGTCGCACTCTGTATATCACATGTATAACGATCTAAGTATAATAATTGCATTAAATAATACAAAGAGAATTCTTGAAAATCTTAGAAACATTTTTATTGGACTAGTTAACATGCTTTGGTATCAATTATGATTACAATATCATGTGGTATTGCGGTAAGTGAGTACATGAGGCAAGGAAACAGTCTCTTCTCTCTCGCGAATATATAATATCCCTTCATGAAAGATGTCGGATCAAAATACCTCGAGAATGTTAGATTATTGAATTCTCAATACTCCTCTCTTCTTTATAAAATAAAGAAAAAATGATTATAAAAAATAGATTACAAAATAGATTGCAGAATAGATTTCTTTGATGTGCAAAAAAACGCATGCAATCGTGACACGAATAGTACGTACTATTTCCTTGCCGTACAAAAGTGGAGATGCAATCGTAATTATACATTAAGATTAAATTAATAAATACTAGAGTAAGGCACTCTGGAATAAATAAGGCGTGAACGCACGACAGGATCGTCGCCGTCGCTGTAACCCAGCTGGTGGTCGCTCTTCGTAGATATCGCTAGCTCGCTGTCAGTTAAGCTCTGATCGGATTGTCAGAATTTTTTTGTTAGTAATAAGAGAACTGTTGCTCCTGATTATGGCGCATGGTCGCGCCTTGATGACCCGAATGATGGAAGTTTTGGATATCATGAGTCGCTTGCTGGCCTCGATACTGATTACAGCTCGAAGACGTCGAGGAGGACACGTTGCAACTGTTGTTCATAAGCGTCGCTGCGTTGTTGCTCTGAATAGCGAATGGCCATGACTGTAATTCAAATCATTCTTGCCGCATTACTGAATCGAATTTAAATGGATTAGATTGCGACGTGTATTATGACCGTCTCGAGTATTATTAAAATTCGTTGGTCGCCGTTAAATCGATGTTATAACGTAGACATATATTTATATTATGTACTATTATGTGCTATTATGAGATCTCGTGTTTTTTTTTAGCTCAGCTTGATTTTATTCGAATTCGTAGAAGCATTTTTACAGACAGAACATTCTTTTGATCATCGCGAGAGGAGGGCGACGAGAGGCCAACTATTTCGCGGCGGAAAACGGCATGCTTCTTCAAACAACGGAACTAACTTAGAATTAATGGTGGCAAAGGGTGGGTGGAAGGTTTTGGAGTGATTCGATCCACCTGGACAGACATAAACAGAGTGGATGACTGCGAAGACGGCGCTCGCAACTCCGAGTGGATCCACCTGGTCTCTGTGTTATTTTACGGAATCGTTATCAAGTCGAAAGTCTGATTGTAAAAGCGAGAAATAGGTCGGAAATAACTCTCTCATTTGGATTTCCGTTAAAATCAGATAAATAAAAAACTCCTGTTTAATTCCACATTTCGTGGAATTTTTTGCTCAGTTATATATCAAAGAATAATGAATGCAATTAAGACTCTTTATGGAAAAATTTTGAAAGATACTCGACATTTAGATCTCTTTTCGTTAAATCTATCTATCTTTTCTATACTAATAACTTTCTAATTAATGATTTTAAGTAATTACTAATTACTAAACATTTTTGCCTTATTATAAAATTTTTCATTATTAATATCCATGCATTAATATGCATGATTGTTCTTATTAATGTTTCTTAAAGTTAAACTAATTTCCTAAAAATCAGAAAAAAGAAAGCTTGCTCAAACTTTGATTAGTTTTAATTTTAATGGGGACGCTTACCAAGGCCAGCGACAAAGATTTGGTGGTTTCAGGATGGGCTTCACCGTCATCTCGAAGCACTGATCGCAGATGAGCGATGTATGTTGCGGCCAAACGTAACGTATCCAGTTTGCTTAATTTTGAATCAGCCGGAATCCAGGGCAAAGTTGTTTTTAATCTGCAAAATGCTTTGCTTAAAATTCTCATTCGCGCGCGTTCTCGGGCATTGGCAGCATTTCGTGGAGCGCGACTGTCCATGTCGTCCTTCATGTATTTCTCGTCAGAAGGATATTCTTCCAGCGACGATGTCGAGGCGCGGCGTTTTCGAGGCATCCTGTTGCATCAATAAACTATTGTTATTTAATTATTCGGTAATTACGCGAATTGAAAGGTAGATAATTATTACTTATCGCAGTAAAAGATATTTTTTAAATAATTGTTTGTTTAATTAGAGAGAGAGAGCGTAGCTTTCTTTATTAGAAACTTCTACTTTATTCCTCTGAAAAATAGAAGTTATGGACAAAAAATAGAAAATAATTATTCACTAAGTAGAGACTACTAAAATTGTTATTCCTGTTTTATTGGAAAAATTTGAGAAACAGGCAAGGCGAAAATAATTAAACTTTTACAGCAAGGCATATTTTACGGCACATGATTAATTATTATGTTGACAAATAGGAAAAGCAATCAATGATTAAAACGATTAGTTTACTATCGCGTAACAACATAATAGAGAGTTTTTAAAATTGAATTATCACATAACCGAAGCTATGCGATTATCGAACGCGAAGCATTCTCTCTTTTCGCGTTATTTTATTTTTACACAGTCAAAAATAAAATTAATTGTTATTTACTTCAGTTCCATTTATCCTTTTAGATATATTTCTAAAAGTTGGCTCATAATTTCTCTTTAATATTTTGCACGTTTTATATCGCAGAATCTGAATCTAATCAGGAAACTGAATTGCGAACTGATATTGTGTTTAGTGTTATACAAAATTAAGAGAAAAAAGTGATTATTTAAAAATATTTTTTTTAAACGTCGATTTGAAATAAAAATGCAAATTATTATTTTTAGAAATAATCTTAATAATAACAATTAACAATTTAATAATCATTGTTTAAATTTGCACTTTGCACATACACAATTACAGATTTTTAAAGGCACAAGACTTCAGTTTATTGTCTTAACACACATCCGCAACAAGATATATTTATAATCACACGAAACTTCAGGTATAAAGGGACACAAGACACAAGTGACAAAGTCCGAAATAACGAGCTGCCGCAAATCGCCATTTAAATTTTTAATTCATGATTATTAATTTAATTACATCAAGACAGAGATCGAAGATCGAAGGATAAAATTGCGTGATATAACTTTGTGTAAAAGGAATAGTATAAAAACTTCTCTCTCTCTCTCTCTCTCTTTAATGGCTACACTTAGATCGTTGATCATCGTCGTTGTCACTTGCGTCCGAACCGCACAATTAATAATGTAACTTGCTCCGATACCTGTGATCGATTATTCCTTTTTTTATTCGCGATCACGCGAGTGTCCACCGACAGGTCACAGCAGATCGCGTCTGCGGCGTGCAACTAATTGTTAGTCAATGTTCTCGGAGCAGAAGCCGAAAGATTAACCGGGAGGAGCAACGCGAGGGATGGGAAGAGAATTAGACAGACAGAAGATGTTGTTCGTTGGAGGGACGCGGAGATTTGGGACGTCCCGAAAACCAGGCGGAGCTTTCGAACATCAGTCGCTAGTCTCATTCGCCTCATCTTGTTTTCCGAGATGCTGCTCGATCCAATCCGCGGGAACGCCCTGGCATTCGTAGCCACCTGGCACATCCTTCCTGGTTTTCTTCTCTTTCCCTCTTTCTCTCTTTCTCTGTCTCAATAGAAATGTAAGGGGGAAGAAACCAAGACCTGTATTAATATCTCGCATTAAACGCTACTTCAGATTTTGAAACATTGTTGCGTGAATTAGACTTTCACATTAGTGGCGATCGTCCATTCAATCTATTGATTATAGCTTTGATTTCCATATAATTGCTGTAAAATAATATAAAAATATACCTGTTTGAATCTCTCTCTCTAGATGTTATATCAGTCGCTTTTAAATAGAATCGTACATTCCGATTGTGATTTAGATAACACATTAAAGATATCCTTAAATATTTGGTGAGTAATATTATAGATAGGATAATGGTGAGATATTTTACCAGATATGGAAGAACTTAATTTCTTATCGAGATTATCATTATTGTACTTCTTTAAGATAAACAATTTCTTCAGTATTATTTTATACCACTCGATTTAACAAAGAGAGAATGCTCTTCAGATATTCTCACATAACTATAATACGTGATACTCCGTACTTATAATTGTGTTAAATTCTGCATATGTATAATCTCATATTCTCTCGAGCTCAGAGGCTATATTTAACGATAGATTGAGATACATAATTGTTATTTAACCATCTGCTCGAGCTCATGTAGTTGCGTAATTGTTGGCGTATCAGATCATACTAACTTCTCTCGCCTACAATACTCACGGGAAATTGCGATGGAATTTAATTGGCGCGTTGATCGCTACTTAATATTGAATTAATGTATCCAACAATGACTTCGAATTATGCTCTACGACTATATTTCCTTGGCACACATACGCTCGTTTCCTCGATCTCTGCCCTCATCTATTCAGACTTTCGCTCCGAGAGGAAGGGTCGGCTGATCCATAATCCATCGCAAATCCCCGTCAACCGGCAGTCATCCGTTCTCGTCGAAATTAGGATTCGAAATGGATCCTGTAATATGAGGTTTGCGGTGGCCCCTGCTGATCCTGCTTAGGATACTGCGTTAGAAGGCGTTAAATTATTGCTCGACAAATTCATGAAAAATGCCCGGCAATCCGACACTCCCCGACCTTTTTCTCACCAACTAAGTGTCACCATTTAAGAGATTTGTAACAAATCGTGAATAAGAGCGGGGTACTTAACACCTAATACGAGAAAAAAATATTGTAGACAGATTTAATATCTTACAATTAGATTAATATTCTTTGATAGATATATAGTATCGATTCCTTTTTTTTAATGAAAATGTAAAAGATCTTTTTGTGGTAATTATAACATTTATTATATCTTTCATCGTTGAGAATAGTGGGCTAATAATTACAATTACGTTTGAAATTCAAACAGAATTTTGTTTTTAACTGTAGACGGTCTATATTATAATTTGCATTAGAATTCAAAAGAGAATTCTATAACTTATAATTTTATATGTCGTACAATGCGAGAAATATTTGAGAAGAATGAAAGTGCATATAAAATATATATTTAAATATTTAAAAATACCCATACATAAAATATATATACACTGCCGTCGAAAAGTTTCCGGACAGGGGTATAATTCGGGAAAATTCTTAATAAAACTAATTATTATGAATAAATATTATTATGAAT